ATATTGTACGTCTGGCCCAGCTGATGTGACATTTATGATCGCAGAACTTGCATCAAAATAGAATATTATATTGATTTGATACTTGTGGCTCAAAATGTTACACATAGTCTTTCCTAGGAATTGCAATTCTTGTATTTTTTTTTCATTCTGTTCACAATTACAATGACACGCAAATGCCTTATGGCCATGGTTTCCGTATATAAACTCTTTTTAAAAATGAATTTCATTAGCAAATGTGTGTGAAAATCACATGGTGTAAACTACGAAGATTCTTAATAATACGTGTCAACGTGAACGCACTCTTTCTTTTATCGTCTAAATCTGTTTCTCTCTTATTTTCACGATAAAATGTTTTTTCTCAACACAGTAATTGACTTTTCTTGTTGAAGCATTTTCTGTGCCCACAAAATACTTTAAACAATAAACGTCTTAAAAACTGATCCCGCTGCGAAAAAGATCCGAAGCAAATTTATATTATAATAATTATATTGTCATATAACGTTGCATTTCTAGTTTACATTTTATTCAGTTTCAGAAAATGTTATCGCCAAAATTGTCAATTATTCATAACCATCGGACATTAAATAAAGTCTTTGAAATCTTGCATTCGATCGAGAGACTATAATTTCTCCCAACTGCGCCTCCATTATTCAAATCTTAAACTTAGAGAAAGAAAAGCAAACAGGTCAATGTGATTTCAGAGGAGAATATCTCACGATTCCGTGATAGACGAGGAGTGACTTATTGAATATTTCCAGTACTATACGGGTGATCTAGATGTTCTCGTTCGATTAAATCTATAGCTTTGACACGGCGATACGTTTGTGTATCAGGGAATCCTTTATGGAATACATATATTAAATCGATATATTAAGCAAATTATGATATAATGTCACTTTAAACTTTACACAAATTAGATAAAAAGCACGACAATAAATTTTGCTTTATCAATAACACATACTATAGTGAAAAGCAACATTTGTCGAGTGCATATTTTCATATTATAAACCAGTGAAGAGTATTAAGTTACAAGTATTTCAAAATTATAAAATATTAAAGTACATGAACTGGTATTACAAGATTTAGTGATATTATGGTACTGGCATTACAAGCAGTGGTAATGTTCCAGTATGAATTTTAGAATTCTTTGTGTAATTATTTCAAACACATGCGCATTTCGATGTCACTATTCCATTGCGATATTTAAGAATACCATGCGTGCATTGCAACAGGCTGTGTTGTTTTATTTGATGAAAAAAGTATCTATCAAATGACAATCTACAGTAATATCACAGGGCTCTTTGTCTGGCAAAGGATAATTTTTATGTTATCAATATAATTAGTCACCTACCTGTGAAATCGGAGTAGACTTTATAGTTTCCTATCCTTTTTGTCTGTCTGTACCTCTAGCTATGTTTGTCTACTCTACTGTCTGCCCTAGTCCTCCTCTAAGTTTTTCAGACCTTTTTAGACGCTTGCATGATGTTGGTTTTGAATTTATTGCGTGGCTTTAAATATAAACTTTACATCTTGACAATTTTGTATTTACTGCCACTCCGGCATTCCATTCTAAATACTTACTAGTACTAGTAAATGGTATTGGGCATAATTACGCCACATTCTAGTACCGGACTTTAGCAATATTACCAGTACATGTTACATGTTTAGTACATGTCCAATCCGTTTACATTTCCTTTTTCACTATATTTTTCAAACATTTTAATTCTTCTAATTTTACAAGTACAAAAATTACATGCTCGTATACATGTACATCATAGTGACCAGTAACATACGCTTGATTTCACGTGATCATTTTTGTATATTATAATTATTACGTAAAATCAAACAAAGTATGTTACCAGCCCCTGTGATGTAATCCCATTGAAGTATCAAAAAACATATGTAATTTCGAATTCTCTGTACAGGAATGAGTTGTTTCGATCTGCGCAGAAACTTTGAAGACTTCACCAAGATATACTCATACGGAAGTAATGAATTCAAAATTTACAGTATGACAAGTATTGTAAATTCTGTATTTAAGTACGTATTCTGCCACTCGGTAAATTCAAAATTTGCAACATGAAAACACAGCTCAAGTTTTCTAAAGTGTTCTTTCTCCAGCTGTCCAAATGTACATGTATTATATGCGAAATGACATTGTACGAGTGCATTTCTATAAATGTGAAAACTATTTCACGATTTTGTAGATTACATTTGTCGAGTGCATATTTTCATATTATAAACCAGTGAAGAGTATTAAGTTACAAGTATTTCAAAATTATAAAATATTAAAGTACATGAACTGGTATTACAAGATTTAGTGATATTATGGTACTGGCATTACAAGCAGTGGTAATGTTACAGTATGAATTTTAGAATTCTTTGTGTAATTATTTCAAACACATGCGCATTTCGATGTCACTATTCCATTGCGATATTTAAGAATACCATGCGTGCATTGCAACAGGCTGTGTTGTTTTATTTGATGAAAAAATTATCTATCAAATGACAATCTACCGTAATATCACAGGGCTCTTTGTCTGGCAAAGGATAATTTTTATGTTATCAATATAATTAATCACCTACCTGTGAAATCGGAGTAGACTTTGTAGTTTCCTATCCTTTTTGTCTGTCTGTACCTCTAGCTATGTTTGTCTACTCTACTATCTGCCCTAGTCCCCCTCTAAGTTTTTCAAACCTTTTTAGACGTTTGCATGATGTTGGTTTTGAATTTATTGCGTGGCTTTAAATATAAACTTTACATCTTGACAATTTTGTATTTACTGCCACTCCGGCATTCCATTCTAAACAGTACTTACTAAATGTACTAGTAAATGGTATTGGACTTAATTACGCTACATTCTGGTACCGGACTTTAGCAATATTACCAGTACATGTTAAGATAATGACCAATCCGTTTACATTTCCTTTTTCACTATATTTTTCAAACATTTTAATTCTTCTAATTTTTTACAAGTACAAAGTTTACATGCTCGTATACATGTACATCATAGTGACCAGTAACAAACGCTTGATTTCACGTGATCATTTGTGTATATTATAATGATTACGTAAAATTAAACAAAGTATGTTACCAGCCCCTGTGATGTAATCCCATTGAAGTATCAAAAACATATGTAATTTCTCTTCTCTGTACAGGAAGAAGTTGCTTCGATCTGCGCATAAACTTTGAAGACTTCACCAAGATACTTATAGGGAAGCAGTGAATTCAAAATTTACAGCATGACAAGTATTGTAAATTCTGTATTTGTGTAAATACTAGTATTCTGCCACTCGGTAAACTCAAAATTTACAACATGAAAACACAGCTCAAGTTTTCTCAAGTGTTCTTTCTCCAAGTGTCCAAATGTACAAGTATTATATGCAAAATGACATTGTACGATTGCATTTGTATAAAACTGAAAACTATTTTCACGATGTTGTAGATTACAGGTCACCTGTAAAGCAATGTTTGTTTGCCCTCTCTCGACTCATTGTAAAATTGTGTCAAGGGGGGATCTTTTTTCCAGAAAAATTCAACTTCTTTGTTGTCAGAATAAGAAGAATATAAAGAAAAAATGTGTCCTGGAATGTAAATAAAGTTCTGAGTCGGTCCATTTTTTTTTTGGTCAGTTGGTCGGGAGAGGGCAACCAAACATTTTTTAAAAGAGATCCATGCTCAACATTAAAAAGTAAAAAAAACCATAATTTTTTTGTACAAATCATAAAACCTTTTTATTTTTGGAATAACTCGTATTTATCTGAACCACATACAAATACCTGTTTTATCACTGCCCTGAATCTTATCATGGGTGTTTTCTTTGAATTTGCCAAAGTGTCAAAATCTACACTTTATAAACATATTTTTGTTTGTGATCTGTTATCTGTGGAACATTGAACTAAGTCTGTCCTCTCCCGTGTACGAAGTTTTTTTTTTTCAAGTATAAACTGTTTTGTTCGTGGATGGATTAAAATACCGAACAGTATTATGAAATCGTGGCGTGAATGACGCTGAAACAAAACAAGGTCTTTTGCCAATGAAAAAAAAGACTCGAGATTTTTTAATCAGATTAACCGACAGGTGAAGGTCTGTTTTTTCTAAAGTTGTTTTTCTTCCCAATTGTTGTTACGTTTTCTTATATTTTTTTACACGTCCAACGCCATGCAGTTCACCTTGCTAACTCTTATTAAGGATAAGTCCTATACAGTCTTACTAGCAAGTGTATACAACAGATTTGTATAGACAAGATAATTAGAAAACACGATCTAAGTATTATCTCGGATTGTTTTTGCCCTCAAGTCCAGACTTAGAAATTTGATATATGGTCTTGTTTACCATAACACCTTCTTTGGAAGGGAGAACTATTAATTAATTGCACTTTAATGTAGCTTGATTAAATCTTGAATATATGAAAAACATGAAAAAATATCCATTGCAAACTTTCCATCGATCGTCATTTTTTTTTTCAAATACAATTCAGTTAGATATTGAATGTTGTTTCAAAATAGAAGGATTGGTTTCTAACAGTGGAAATTTCTGGTAAAAAAAAAAAAGAATTATTATCGAAGGCACAAAAAATGATTTGACAAAAGAGTTCGATCATGATAGCCCATATATCTCAGCAGATCGCCTGGGAGGCGAAGATTACTGATGGAAGCTCGATCTCCATGCAGGAATCTGAATTTATGTAGGATTTATCTAAGATCTTTTTTATCTTAATTACCTAGCTTTAAGTTTAGATTCCCCAGCCCCTAGCCTACTTACTGTGTTGATATACATTATGCAACCAAGATTAAACATCCCAGGTCGTTATACGCTGGAACAACAGAGAGGGTTACAATGTCAGTATTTAGAGGTTTTCACCTGGAATTGAAGATTTCCGGAAAGTAACTAAAATAGATATTTTGACTCAAGTATCATTACGTCTTTATCGTTTCGCAGTCGAGCGGTCGCCTTATTGACGAATGGCGAAACTTTTACTGAAATATGTACATCAAGGTTATCTTTTACTTAAATTTATTTGATAAACACTCAGGCAATATTTAAAAAAATAAAGTAGGTATATTTATACCGTTCTGTTCCACTACTTACATCTAATAGTCACTGGTTTAAGTATATGTATAAAGATAAATCCGATCATGAATACCATGTCTTTTTCAATATTCCATTTCGGAAAACAAAAAATTTAACCGGAATCGGCATATACAATGTATTCCAAAAACAACAGTATTAACGTCGTCAAAAAAGCTATAAAATTACTATCCATTTTCTGATAATCCAATTGTCCTGGTTAAAGATGGAGAAACGGAACCATTGACTTTAGCACCTTCAGACGCACAAGAGCTCATTTCAGTGATGGTTAGAACTATTTCCGGTTTGAATTTGTCTTCTGTGTCTTCGGAAACTTTGGTAAGTTTATGTTTTGCAAATGTCACCTTTTCGTGTCTTGGACTCTGTGTCATTTCTTTCCAGGTTAATTTTTTGCCCTCTATCGGGGGCGGGGTGGGCGGTCGGTTTGATTTGGGTCGTTGAAACAGGTCGTTGGGGCAAGTGTTGGCCCTTGGTCTCATTGGAAGGGTAAAATCAAGCTCAAATTCGTCCTCTATTTCATCCAGACTTAACTCTGAAGAGTCATCGTTTGTGATTTTGATGTCAGGAATAGTATTTTTGGAATTTCGTCTTGTTTGTCTGTACTGAGAGGCGTCCGAATGAGACCGTCGCCTGGATAGGTCCGGCAAGGGAAGTAGCTCCTTCTTCAAAGACGGCATAGTCGGATGTTCATCCATTGTTTTAAATGTCACCAAAAAGTTTCACTTATAACTCCTATTTCCAGATAAAATAGATATCAAACAGACTGATTCTCAGCAGGAAGTAAATAATCCATTAGACATCTTTAAAGAGACGCATTTAGCACCAGTGTCGTCTTCCAAACTTCATACACTAATACTAAGCGGTCACGCCATTCGCAGTTCTTAAGTGGTTAAGCAAATATATTCCACAGTCTCCGCTCTGTGTCTACCCTTTAAGTGATTTCTATTACTCTCCAAGCTCGGAATTAACTGCTAGCTGGTTGAACGTTCTGATAATAGTTGAATGTTTAGCCTCGGGATTATGACGAGCGATCGATCTTTGGTACTTGTCGAGGTGCGAGCATTAGGACAAAAGTATGTTTTCGACAGAACCATCTGCTTTTAGCAAGTTTATTTTGTCTCTATATTTGTTGTCGTTCACTCAATATCTACCGGGAAACAGGAAAAAATATTTTCAATTTTTTTTTCAAGACGAAAAGGAAATTATTTCAAATTATTTTCAAAATTCACACCGGAAGACAAAGTTTTATAGCTATTTACACGGAAGTTTTAGCACTTAAATAAACATATTATGAAATAAATTCAGTTATTTTTCAGACTGTTCTAAATTCATTCCCTCCCATTTCCTGTTATTTTCATTTTTTTTTAACATTTAACGGATTTGTTTTTCAAACGAACTCTACCCTCATATCATTATATAAATTACGCACATGTACATGTATATACACCCGAATTTTTGTTTTATACACATTGACTTGTCTCAGTTTTCATTTGGGCGTCGGATTTTTCCCGAGCCAGTATCCCCATCAACTTGCTTAATGTCTTTCTGACCACTTTCCATTAACTTTGGTGTATCACTTTAGTAAATACATCAAGTTTTTTCGCTAAATGATTTTCATGCGTCCTTCAAATTTTACAAGATGGATTGCCAAAGGAATATGCTCGCCAAGATTCCCGAACTTTTATCTATTTTTTTTTTCTGCGTACAATCAGAAGTGTTGATATACGAGTTACCATCTTATTTTAAATAATTTTATCTCAATTACAACTATTACGTTAAATCGAAATAAAATCGTTAATTTTTACTTTATTTTTATTTCTTACAGTTCTTCACTACTCTTCATACACAATTTGTAGAACAACGCAACAAAATAAACACAATGTACACTATACATGTATCATTTGAAATTTGGCCTTGAAATTGTAAATGTTTTGTTCAAGTAATTTTCCCAGTCATAAACAGGTGGATTGACAATTAACGGGTTGCAAAATTACGAACTTACAAGTACGGGAACTTAATACACTTAAAATATAGAAGATTAAGCATTAAACTTAAATATCGTTTTTTCCTTTTAAATTTTGCCTTAATCATGTGAGTGCACTATACGAGATCATTATCAAGCAGTAAACGTGTGATCTATGAAACGTTCAATAGCATTTTAAAAAATAAATCTGTAAATCATTGCATTAGAGTTTTTTTCACTTTCAAATGGCATTTATCCATGTATTTGTATCTTAATACACGTGAGACACATACACGTGTCTAACTTTTACCTTACAATGGTGTTTGTTGTGTTTGTTTTGTGCTTTGTCTGTTCCTTTCGAGAATTTTTCAGACACCATCACTTGACGGTGCATGGAAGGCTGCAATTTAGTCCTCCTCTCGTCACTCTGGGCCACTGCACAGTGATCTAGTCCGTACACAAACCTTACCTTACGGTCTCATCTCAAGGATCGGTCTCCGATTCCCGCAGTGGATCCAACTCCTTATTCAACAACTCTACAGCAGACACCCAAGACAATCACGTGACGTCTTAGTATGTTACAGAGGGAATGATGGTCAGACGGGGGAAACCATGTGATACACAGTTTCTGACCTTTCAGGCATGTAGTTAGTGGCCAGAACAAAATTAAACAAAATCCCTTCTATTCAAAACCAACACAATTACGACAGAACGGTTTTTAGGGATACGAAACAGACAGAAAAAATAAAAATTCAATCTGTGTATTTATTGCAAGGAAATTATTTGTTCTTTAATTCATCTTTACAAGATGACCTTTTCCATCATTGTTGTGTACTTTATTTTTCACGTCCATTAATGTCATTTTGCGCGTAAAAATGCAAAATAACCCCTACGCATAAAACCATGAAGTCTTATATTAGACATACTGATATCATTTGTACCACGTCTATATTTGGGAGATTTAATCAATTTGTTTCCATTTCAAAGCAATTTGTCAAATTTTAAAACTATACGTAATCAATAATTTTCAAACTGAAATGATTTTGGGTATTTTGTTAGCCTTTTTCAATATAGAAATATTACAAAATAAATGGTATTAAAATATGTAATGCGTTTAAGGAATAAGACCCCCATGATTGTTTTCATTCTCCGTTTTAATTCTGGCTTTAAAGTACATTCAGTATTTGAACTAGTATATCATTTAACGTTTTCAAACAACCATGCCTTGCCAAAATGACAATATTGGAAGATCGAGAAATAATACTGTAGTACTATCAGGGACGTATTCACTAGTATATAGGTATCTAGGTCCCTGGTACAACTAGTACTTTCTTTGTAAAACAGGTAATATATTAGAACATTAATGCATGAATTGTTTTAATTCCAGCATCATCCTTGGCAATATCGAGTAACATGCCTCCGTAATAAATGTTGAAAAAGTGGTGTCTGCTGCTATTCTGAAAAATTCTCAAATGACAATGATTCCTGGTCTTCTGAGAGTTTTAATTTTTGTCAAAATGGCCGGCGGCTGTGATTATCGTGATTTTGTACCCAGATGAACGAGCTAATGGCAGACGATGTGTTACTTCCTGACAGAGTGACATGGAATTCGTTACTGATGATTAATAAACATGACTTTGTCCCGGATGATACAATTGATCAGTGCACTTTGTATTAAACCGTAGCATCTATATTTGTAATTGAGTGTCTGATCATTGCAGTAAAATAAAGTCTTAGTTTGAATGTAGAAGATTCCATTTTCTTCCATTGAATTTGCTAAAATTCTGACATCCACCGAATATCTTTAAATTCAAGATATTCATGCTTTTCGGAGAAGCATGAAAAATAGCAGAGTTTAAGGACGATCAAGCAATGTCATATAATTTTCAGACTACGCCGTCTAGTTATAGATTTTGGCTTTAACACTATGCTTATCAGGATTAGTATTGTTAAAGCAGTATAGAAAAGTACAAACCGTGTCATCAAGGCATTATCAAGGGAATACGAGAAGACTTTTTTGCAAATTAGTGTCATTTTTTGCCAACGGAGTGTTTTATGGCCGTAGTGATAAGAAGAATTGGAATTAAACCCAATGTTTAGTAACTGAAAATCACATTTTTCCGTTGGGGATAGTTTAAAGGCTCGTCAAGCTTTATCTTAATTTATGGCATTGAGTATTAGGTCTTTTGTCATTTTCTCTAAAACTGCTGCAGTCAAGCTATAAATTTGCATCAAACTTGCATGTACTAAAACTATTATTACTCCACAGAGATATTACATTTGGTCTGTAGACGAGTTCTGGCTGAATCTACAACAGATTTGTCGACACTATGTATGAGACACTGTTTGCCTTTTTATTCTCTCTTTGAGAGATAGTATATGACAAGAAAACGAGGCCAATACATTTAAAATGTATATTTTAGGGTCATATATCTATCACGAGTCCTTGCTTTGAGATAAGTTTACTAACTTATTAAGAGGTGTGCCTAAATGTTGGTTTGGAGGTTGAGGTGACCATAGAAACACATGACCCCACCTCTGATATTTTGGAGGTTTGCTCTGCCACCTTTTTGAAATGTTTAATGGACTTTTTGAGTTCGAATATATTGTTTGTTATCTCCACATATCTCTGACATGCACCTTGCACACATTCATTTTAGACTGTAATAGTTGAAGTTCAAAGTCAAAGTTACGGTCAGTCCATAATGTGTAGATCACATTAGCCTCCAGCTTGTAAAATACTTTTCTATATATTTGCTTTACAAAAATTATTTATCTTACCGAACTTTCCAAAAATTGTTTCACGCTTATAATGACCAAATGACTGTCGAGCGAAAGTAAGGTGTCGTGCGTGAACAATTGGTGATCTAAATATGTAGAAAAAAATATAATAATTGTAAAACACCATTTGACCTTTCCATTCCAATGCTTGTTAAGAGACTAGAGAAAATATCAAAATTAACTATGTTTTGGTAACATGGTTGTGATCACGATAAGTAAAATATCATTTCAGTTTCAAACTTGCAATGATTTTGAAATTCCTGTAACATCATCAACATGTATGTGTGTATTGCTAGCTTTCCTCGGTTAAAAATTTATCTTATCCAGAGCATGCTCTTGAATATGTTAAGAGACATAGGTGAAGGCCACTACATTTTTTTTTGTTATGTAGATCTTTAAAAATATTTTCTGCTTTAAATGAATATAAAACAGAGCGGATAATAAAGGAGCACAATTAGTGCCCATCGGAATTCCAACAGTTTGTTTAAAGACTTGGTCCCCGAAGGCTTCTTAAACGTTGTCAATGAGAAACCCCAGCGTCTTTAAGAAAGTACTTTTGTTGATGACCAATCACAAGATGTGAAAATTTATGTGTTACGTTATTTTGAAAGAAAAAACTGCCCACGATTTATACAAAAAGCTTTTATGCAACGTGTACTACTCATTATGTTTTACAGCAAATCAATTTATTGTGTGTGAAACCGTGGTCTTTTAATCAAATCATGTTGCGTGGAGACGTTCCATTAATCAGGTACATTTACACTTAAAGGAAAAATGTAAACAGGTGGTCATTTCCCGTTGTTGTCGATTGTTTAACAGAAATGCTTACTTTAACAACTGAAACCAACTGAAAACTGCAATCTTGCAGCAGAAGTATTAAAACGTACAGTATAATCATATCACACATCTACTTTATATTACACAATGATCACAATTAATTGACTCTGGGTTGACATCAAAGCGGTCAATTTTTTGGGAGGTTGGACATCATCCTTACATGTCCAGTACAAAGTGGAAAATCAAATTTTTCCCTCACTTTCCATTCATTCGACTTGGACTTGTTTATACAGCGTTGGTTCATGACATCTCTGGTCAAGAGCACCATTAGACCAATCGTGGAATGTCCTTATTGTTTACATTAAATCATTTTATCAACAAGATTAAAGCTGATCAAGACAAATTGACGGTTAGACCAGGAATATTAAGTCTCTGACCGTGAGAGCTTAATTTCAGCAGAGTTAATAAGAGAGGATATCAAAAAATTAAACATCAAAAAACATATAACTGGTTATTTTGATAGCTGCCTAAAGCCTAACCACAGTTGAATGACCTATACATCATTGTCAGATGCATTTCTGAAGTTATAATGAAATCTTTTGAAAATTTATTGTAACCCAACACAAAATCA